CTCTGTACAGTAGATGATGTTCTCCGTACAGTGGATGATGATGAGATGGAGATGAATGACTCAGAGAACGAACACGAGGTTCAGGGTTGCTGTTGGTGAGCTGGAGTCGACTGCGGCAGCTGGTTGTAAGCGCTAACTATGAACTGTATGAACACTACGAACTCGGAAACACCCTGTAAATCACTCGTTTGAAGCTAACTAGTTTCTATTTTACACACAAACTTAGTGAAGGATTTACACAGAGTCCTGATCTCTATGTGGGGTCTAGATGAGGGTTCTCTTATTGTTTGTTCTACAACATATTAATACCAACTACTCAATAACGAGTCCTAACTATAGATGTGGTTAGAGTCAAGTATTAAAGGTTCTGTCGCTACTACTAGCAAAAGAAGTTAGGGTTCTAGCTCAGTTTTACAGTTTTAGTTTAATTACTAAGGTTCCTAGCTTTGTATTAATTCAGAAGTGTTCTATACAATAGTTTCAGACCATCAACATAAGGCTCTAGAGGAGGGTTCTAGGACGGATAATTACCTGTTCAAGAGCACACAGATTGGTCCTGAGAGCATCGTTCTCCTGTAAGACAGGTCCTTACTGAGTGAGGTGTTCTAGATAATTCTGTTAAGGATCAGGTCTACGGTGAAGTAACAACCTAGCATTAAGGGTAGCTCGTACCGTAGATGTAAAATGGGTTCTAGATAATGTGCAAGAAGGTATTCCATTGATCCCTGCATTGGTAGTGTGTTCCCAATCTCTTAAACTGGTTAGTACAATTGGTTCAACCGAATTAATTAGTGTCCAGTACTGACCATAATGTGGTTTATGGTTCTAGGTCAGTTCTAGGTTTTATTATATTTCAAGGTTTCAGATCATCAATGTGAGGGGAGCGCACAGATTACCTGTTCTAGAGCAGCTATGTTAGTCCTCAGAGGTGACGCAGTGTTATGGTTCTATATAACGTTCTCCTGGTACAGCAGCTGTTATATGGCAGCTATGTTAGTCTGTAGAACACTGCTTAGTGGTTGACGTTCTAGATGACGTTCTCTCGGTTCATTACCTGTTCTAGAGCAGCTAGGTTAGTCCTCAGAGCATCGTTCTCCTGCAGGATGTTGTCCACCTGCTCCTGACTGACTGCACTCTGACTGGCTACCTGCAATACCGACGCACCACAGGCAGGGGGCAGCAGAGGGAACAGAGAGAGAGACCAGCACAGAGCCGAAAAGAGTAAAAGGTAAGGAAGAAAAAGAAAGGCAACAAAATCAGAAACAAACACAAGGAACGAAGGATAGAAAGAGAATAAGAGGACAAAGAAACAGCCGGTCAGAAACAGACAGCAGGAAGAACAAACACCAGACTGCCAGAGTGAAACTTTACTCTTTATAGTGAATCTGGATCAACTGTCACTTTGGCAGAGAAACACATTCACAGAAAAGTGAGAGAACAGGAAGCAGTTTTAGTTAAATTCCCCTCAGAAAGCCTCGTTTTATGTCCCCGTCTGCCCCCGACCGCCTCGTCAGCCTCACTTTGGATGAGTGTGAGTCCACAGATTATAATTTCCTAATAATCAGTATGGAACCAATATTATAGCTTCACTAAATGAACCTGCAGAAGGACAAATGTGAAATGTATACAGGTCTATTTACATGTGAATTTAACTATGCAGGTTTTCTTTGCCCTACGTAAAGACTGCCAGGCTCTTTCTCATTTCTCTTCATCAGCATTCTCACTTCCTGTTTCCTGATTGTGTTACCTGGTTCTTCAGAGTGTGCACAGCCAGCTCGTGTTCCTTCTCTCTGCTCTGCAGCTGCTCTCTCAGCTCCGCCGTCACCTAAACCCAATCACAAACACAGCCCGGTCACTCTCTGTACTGGTCCTGATGGATCACAGTACAGCATCAGCAGCGGGAGGGGGGGCGGGGGTACTGTAGGTCTGAGGTCTCACCTGATTGGCTGTCGTGACGTCTGACTGCAGTTTCTGGATGCGGGTGTTCAAAGCCTTCAGCTCCTCCTCTTTCCTTTGGTTGATCTCATCGATCTTTGTCCTGCAACAAACGAACAACACGTCGAGTAGAGGTAGCAGCAGTTGTATTAGTACCTGAAGTAACTCGTTTTAGCAATAGTTGGAGTATAATTATAGTTCTGACCTGCGTCATTGTAGCAGTATTATTAGCAGTATTAGCAGTATTATTAGCAGTATTAGCAGTATTTACCTGCTGTCGTTGTACAGAGCCTCTTTCTCTCCCTGCAGACGCTGAAAACTGAAGAACACAAACTTTATAATCAGTGTTGTGATGGACAGTGTGACACAAACATCCAGAGAGTAACTGTAACGAGTGCGCCGCCCCCAGGACAACAACTGCAACTACACCACATACACAAACATATCTAACATCACATATCTTTCAGTGAACTCACCTCTCCTGTTTCTTCTTTAGCTTGTCAGACAGCTGGAGGACAGACAGACAGACAGACAGACAGACAGACAGGAAACAGAATTAAAAGTTATAATATTCCTTAAAACTCACAGTTTATGGCAGAATAAAGTTAAGAATAAACAACAAGGAGCCCAAACATTTACCTTGGTGATGTCTTCCTGCAGTTTGGTGATTTCAGTCTGTTTGGACGCCTGCAGGCGGACAGGAGACACTTTTAGAGTCAATAACACTAATCAATGTGGCTGCAACAAATATCAGATTTACACTCTTACACTCTCAACTTTATGTAAATGTTCTACCTTATAATAACATGTCAAACATGTTTACAGCCTCTTTGTCTCTACAGAAGATTTAATGTTTATACAACTCACCCCTTTAAATGACATACACATCAAGACAGCATCGCAGAATGCTGCTTGGTGAGACGCACTCGCACACAACGACACATTTTCAAATAAAAATATATATATAGTTATAGTTATATATATATAACTATAACTAT